TGATCGCTGAGGTTTGTTTCGACACAGTATGTCTGATAATCAACGACATTGAGCAACTCCACTGCGATGGCTAAGGTGAAAACCACCAAAATGTCGTCAAAGCATTCGAGGTTTGGTATATGATTGGATAGATAGCCTACAAAGGTTGAACGTTAAACTGTAACTGCAAAGAATAACGTATTGAATAGCGCTTACCCGTGACCTTTTCTTCAAGAACAAAATGTCGGTGCCAGAGGTACATTATACGGATTAACAGTAACCGGGAGGGATCATGGTTTGTGTTAGTTATTACGCCCCCTAAAGCCCAAGTGCGGTATAAACCAATAACGGTCTCCCCTAGGGTAGAGAGACAATAGAAATGTCCTCCCTTGCATATCGACGGCTTGACAGTTACAACCCAATGCGGCGTTTGGGGACGCATACGTCTGACAACATCGTAAATATTGAGGATCAACGTAGGTAAAATAAAGACTTACAATCGCATCCCTGGTTCCAATAATATGCCTTCGAAGCACCATATATTTGGGTCAGGTCTTTCCATGCACCATTTCTCATCACAGTATAAATCAATTTTTCCGTTGTCTTCACGGTTTCGAGGACGAGCGACGATCCAGTATTTACCACCGACCAGTACGTCTACGGTGGTGCAGAACCCATCCGAGTCGATGTGACCATAGTGCAAAGCACCATAAGTAGCAACCAGTCCCCAACGGAGATGTCGCGATGGCAAAGACGCAGTCTCCTCATTGCAGAAAGGAAGTCGTTCGGTGGCAATCCAAGCATGGAGATCCGTTGATAGGGCATCTGGTGAAATATCGCTTGCGGGCAACGGAAAGTCTAATGCATTCAAAATGTGACCATCGTCATTCGGTCCCGAAGAGCCCTTGAGTATCATCTGATTCAACGTTCCCTGAACGAGACGTTTACTGTAGTCTCCGTCCTTCACCAAAATACTTTGATCTGCATATATGTATCAGTTATTGATATTTTAACGCAGATATATCATAGAACACTAACCTTGCATATCAATGACAGCATCCAAATGTGCGAGTCTACTCAAAGTATCTTCGTTCCAAGCTGCCTTTCCAACCGAACGTCCGGTTGTAACGATATTTTGAGTCGCAAAGATTTTAAGGGCCGTAGCATCGTCTAAATTCTCGAATTCTGCCTCGGTCATTGTGATAAAGCTTGCAGCTTCTGGTCGCGATATGTGAGGAGGTAACCCGTCAATATAATCTTTGACTACGAGGTCCATCAAGTTATCAAAATTGTCGATATCGACCTGATGCTGCGGTCATGTTATTCGTGTTGATAGCAGCTACATCTGATATACTTACGTGGAATTCAGGCTTGTATTTGTGAAGATTGTGCAATGTGGATCCATAGAGAGCGTACTCCTCAGTACCGACGCATTTCTAAATGAAGTTGCATGAGAAGGGGATAACGATTGTAAATTTGATAACGTACAGGCTTAAAGCTGTCAAGTTTCAATGTTTTTTCAGGGGCCGATGCCTACGAATGAGTCAATAAGAGCATTCATCCAGCGACAGACGCATACCGTGACAATATCTAAATCAATTCGACGACCTAGGATCGTGCCAGAATAGATGTATGAATCTTCTTCGCTGACGTACTTTCTTTGAAAGGATTGTTGAGAAGGAAAAGTCGAAGAAGAGGCATGCGATGAATCGCGGAAGAAGGTAGAGTCGGTAGGTGAAATCAGTTTATCTGATAACGTTTTCCTTTGACGTCTTGTACGAGGACGCCTTTTACGTTTTTTCGGCGTGACTGCCTTTGAGTGTTTGGGGTTCAATCGGGATGGACCGTGATCTGAGTCGGTGTCTGATTCGGAGGAGTCGTCGGTTGGAACAGAATCTTCTTGAAGGTTACGTTTTCTCTTCAGCGTGACTGATTTTGCATTGTTCGACTTCGATACGGGGGAATGATGGTCTGAGTCCTCCAAATCGGTTAAATCGCTATCTGCTTCAGAGTTTTGCGAAGGACTGGGTCGAACGCTGGTACTGATTTTTCCGGGATCGACATTCACACAAGGGGACCGCTGCTCAATAAGCGCTGTTTCGGTGGCGCGAGGGACTGCAATGGAGGAAACCATATTAGAAGAGGGTAATGTAGATGCATTCCCTCCGTTTTCGGCTTGGCCATTCTCATCCACGACCATAGCGCCCGTATTGGAATTATAGACCTCGTTGGAACCCCGATCTACTGAAGAACAATCGGCTCGTTCGGTTGTGGATGGTAGAGGATTAGCGACGACGGTAATGTCCTGTGTGGTTTTTGCTGGGTCGTGTGCCGGTGCAATTAAAGCGGGTTGTTGCAATTCGACGGGGTTTGGCTGAGACTGAGAAGAAGTAGCTGGAATGGATAAACCCGGGACCAATGCTATTGTCGAAGGAGGGCTTTCATCGATATCCATGTGATCTATAGGGCGAGTTCCCGGTAAACAATCAATTCGTTCGGTACTGCTTAGTAGACGATCTGCGAAGAGCGGTGTGGCTGTATTGTGTTCCGCTGCAGCAAGGGAGTAATGTTGCAAATCGTTGGAGTTTGGCTGAGACTGAGAAGGAGTAACTGGAATGGTTGAACCAGTGATCAATGCTGTCGCCGAAGGAGTCCGATCGTCCCGGCTTTCAACGGTAACCACATGATCTATAGGTCGTGTTTCGTGGAGTTGGACATCCGCCAAGCGAGCGTTGACCGAACTAGCATCTGTAGTCTCCATTTCTGCAAGAGGAATAGGAGGGTTTTGGCTTGAAGTTTCCTTGGACGAAATGACTTCTACAATCGGTGAAGCGGAATCGGTCGCCGTTTGCGTCGTCGACGAGGACAAATTCGTGTCAATAGGTTCAAGAGGTGCGGACGTTACTACCAGTGGCCAACCAACGGGAATTGCGCCTTCGATATCTTGACAGTACATGTTGTCGACAACTTTGTCGTCTCCGTCGCCATCTAAAAACATGAGATCACAATAATGAAAAGTCTAGCAAATAGAAACACACCTGGCTTGAACCAACCACATATTTCTTCATTGGCTTGTTGAAGACGACCCCAGGGAACCTCAATTAAGAATTGTTCCAGAGCATTCCATGCTGCAATCTTGCCTTGCGCGACGTTCAAGAGCACTTTCCACAGGAGCTTTTCCACCTCTATCAAAAGGGATGGTTTTTGATTGCCTAAGGCTTTTCCCGTCTAGCGATAACTGATGTGAACATATGTATCAATGGTCCAAAAATTAGGCATACGAGAAATAGTTTCATCCTGTCCAGTTTCCCGCCGTTATACCACGCTTTGGTAGTCAGCAATGCTAACGGTGAGACAAACGTGCATATATCAATGCAAAATAGGAGAGTGGGCGCTTCATTTAAAAGTGTATTGATCGCTTTCAAATCGGACTTGCCGTCGTTGAAAGAACTGTCAAGAATGATATGATGTTCTAATGACTATGTTAGAAGAAACGACATACATTATGAAATTTTTGATTTTATTTCTCTCTTCATTATCAGAGGATTGCAGTGCCTCCTCATTGACACGAAGATAACCCTACTAGCATTTAGCCTTCGTCGATATGTTAACTTGGCTGCCCGTACCTTCCAGACTAGACGAAGACACAACGCAGCAGCTTCTATGTTTGCAAGTGCTCCATGTACTTGGGTTCTTGATATAGTTTTCGACAAAGACTGTATCAATCCAAGCTCTATCGACTGTGGACAGGTCTCGCTTGGTAATTCCGTATTGAGGGAAGTTTGATTGAATTTAGCTTTGAATTGGGTGACGAGCTTGACCCAATCGTGTAATGGGGACCATCCCTACAATGAAGCATGAGAAGTATATGAGACTAGTGGAGATTGACGTACTTTGAACTTGTTAGTGTAAATAGGCCGACGTCGATGTTTGGGAACCTCAACCACATAGCCATTATGGAGTGAGCAATCATTCATTGCTCGTACCATTTTGTCAATGAGGACATATTGCAAAACGAGATCCAAGAAAACGCCCCTACGCTCCAAAGAAGGAAAGTGTTGCAGAGCGTTCTTAACGTTGATGTATTTGAACATGCGACTGGAATGGTTTTCCTCTTCTCCTATTAATAGAGACCGTTTAACCGCTTTCAGTCTCGGTGTCAACCGGTTGGCAGATAGCAGAGTATGCTCCGTCTCTTGGAGGGCTGATATGAATGGCTAAACCATAACATAAGCGACCACACACGTCACGAAATAATGAAAACGCACCATACTTCCTAATTCGCCCAAAAGAGGCTCTAGCTCGTTTTCCAGCACAAAGCGGCCGTCATCCCACGGAATTGTTAATAAGAATCTGCTTTGGTTCCGTAGGGTTTTTTGTGACATCGCAATCTTTGAGGATTTGTTGGATTAGCGAGCAGAAGGTTCGAAACGATTGTCTGACAGGGAATCCCGGTAGACAAGCACTTGGATTTCTATGGAGCCGATAAAACGGAATGACTGTCTGAAAGGGAAACCCAGTAGACGATCGCTTGAGTTTTGGTCCGGTCGAAGCGCCTGAGACTCCGGCCCGTTGAAGGAGAAAAGGTAGGGTAGATTATCGTTGACACTAGCGAGCCCATTATATGAAATCAAAAAGCGAAGACTAAACTGGGAAGCCCAGCGGACGAACGTGTTGACTCACGAATATGTTACTTGTGAGCGTAGCGAGCTTTGAAAATTTGAACGTTAAACTTTTCCTGAGCCTGCGAGTTGTACGACTGGGTCCGAGAACCTGGAACAAACAAGCGACAATTTTAAACTGAGAAGTGGACGTCCACTTTTCAGTTCAAAATTTGTCATTATTTGGTCATTGTTCGAACACAGAATCAACAATACATTAATTCAGAATACGTTCGTTTCTACCATAGGTCTGCCGAGACTCAGAAGTCTGATGTAGTGGGTAACTGACCAGCAGCTTCGCCGTTTTTATATATTTTTTTAAATCTAAAACAAGAGAGAAACTACAAATGCCCTCGCCACTCAATCTTCCGGACAACCTATCAAAATCACCCACTGGATGTTGCAACTCAGAGAGTAATTCCCTGTTTTAGACTTGTATACAGATGTTGTGTAACCAACAACAGCAAAAGACCCGTATGGAATTTCATCATCGTAACGGTCGAGGATCTTGTCCAAATTGTTGAGATTGTGAGCTGTATATTCGAAGTTAAATTTCCGCCCGTCGTAGACGGGTACTATTTTAAAAAACTTCAGTCTATGCCGAGAACATAACACTGAAAACTTACTGATTGCATCAAAATCCAAGAAGAAAGTAGCCGAAGTCTTAACCTTTGGCTGACCGCGCTTCGTAGAAGGACTGACGCTGCTGTTAAACATGCCAGACGGTTGTTTACCGGGTGAAAAGCCGGCTTCAAAGCAATCAGTACAGGTGTAAACGTGATACGCTTATCACTTACCACCTGTTCCTTGACTTTTCGTAGAGAAAAGTAAAGAATCTTTCTCAAGTTGCGCATGTAGCTCCTTCTTTCCGAAAGCCATACATATGAAGCCGCAAAAACGATCCCATTCCTGAGAATGAAGTATACCCGAGATGGATTTCTGGCGTAAACCCCGTTCCGGTGGATTTTGCAGATTTGATGCAGTCACGAATACACTGGACACATTGATAGCCGGCTGATTCTTTATGTGAAGATGTAGGCGTTCTCCGTCTGGTGTCGCTTTATATGCGGAGACATCCAGAGGGGACGCTCTCGATGGGTTAACATAGCGGCCAGATAAATCGAAACGGATGGCGTTAACACAATTACTAAATTTGCGTATTTCAGGTCATGGTAAACAGTCGACAAATGAAGTTAGCACTCACTCAAATAACATATGAGGGCAGTAAGTTTCCCAAGCGGATAACATAATTTGACCAGGACCTTTTGCATTGCTCCATGAGATCAGAATGCCACGACTAAAAGTTACTAAGTAACGATCAATAGACAGAAAGATAAATGAACTAACTTTAAGTTTGGTAACGACGCGTAGTCGTCTGCAAGGTAAGCGTCTTGGAGTTCCATCTGGGTAACTTCACAAGAGACAGGCAAAGACCTAACATTGTAAACAAGTTGGGAACGTATGATGTCAATGAATTGAAACGTTAGACTCACGTTAGCCTCAATGTATCCACATCACTTAAATGAACAACGTTCGCATTGGATGTTGATTTCTTTTTCTCGGCAAGCATGTCAGCGAATGTTTTAGGAGGATTATCCGAGCGATGTTTGGTGACATCGTGAGATTGACTGCTTCCCTCGCCCGATTTGAACGATGCTGATTTCGATGGACTGACGTCCGCGATACTTCGTTTGGTTGCCATCCTGAATGAATGTTAATGAGTATTATCAACCTACCGCATTCGAAAATGACTTACTGTATCTGTCTCGCCTCTTCCTCTTCAACGTCAGACTCGTTATCCGACTGCTCTATTAAAGGAGACTGAAAGCGCGCTTTGGCTTTCCCTTTATGACCTAAGGGCGACTTGATTTGTTCACGACCGATTTGCTCGCGATCTTCGTCCCCTCTGAGGTACAGTTAAGCCAAATACGATAAGGGCCTGAAGAAAGACGCTTACACGGCCTCATCGTCTCTATAAAACGATGAGTTATGTGAGAAATTCAAAAGAGATGGTACTCACATGAAAGGATCGGCTAAGTCGTATTCATCCAAATCGCAATTCTCCCCACCCAAACTGATATCATTAACCATAGGTTGTTGCTGAAGTGAATTACATACGCTTCACGTTCAGAGCTTGTCTCGTCAAGTTCTTCTTGGACGATGGATACATCTTTGATAGCGGATCTTACAAAAAAGGAGATCAGTAAGTTGCAACAATGTTAGAAGCGACCCATACCGAGATTTATATGATCTTTGTGCATCTTGTTGCGAACCAGCGCGATTAAAGTTGATGTCGCTGATACAAAGGCAGAGATTCTAAGTGATTGTTAAACAGTAAGTAAACGTAATACTTACTGTTTATCGCCGACGGCAGTAACGCGTGACCGTACAGCCTTCGACGGTCTGTATGAAGCCTCATAATCAGAAAGTTTCTTGATACAGCAGGATAGCTGTGAACATACGAGGCACGTTTAGGGGTTTTTACACTGATGGAAATATTAACGAAACGCATCGAATAGAGGGAGGCATCTAACTCACACGTCGTCGTCGCTATTTTCGTTTGAAGCTGAAGACATCTTGGTTTTCTTGGAGCTTGAATCGGAGGTAAGTAGATTATCGCAAAGGAACTTAACCGGTGGAACTCACGGAGTCTCTGGGTTGACAACAAAATTTCCCTCTGGATCCAATACGCGCTTTTTATATCTATACAGAATGACATCAACTTGAACGGCCGTGGCAAGAAAAAGGATGATAACGACGTACATGCCGAATGCGCTTCTGGTCCTTACAGGTGTATCATCCGGAATAGGTTTCTTGGAAGATTGAATTCTAGACTTCATTGTCTGTCCCCGAAACATACTATCGTCTGGATCTAGTTCCGGTGTTCTATCCAGATAAGGCCCTTAGACAAAGTAAAGTGCAAGAAGCCAAGTACGTACTTTTGTTCTCCTTCGGATGAAGTGACTTCAATAATATCGCTATCAGAGGTTCGTCAGCTTAGAAAATTGCGGTAAAGGTGCACTACAGTCACTTTTTAATCGGCTTGATTGCATTAGACCGTGAACTCCGCGAAGAACTAAGCCTCAGTGTAGGCTTGACAAGTATAGTCAGGGGAGGCGACCTAGCAAAACATCAGTTGAATACGCATAGCTTCAAGGGAGCAGATTCTCACTGAGACCATTCTATTAAACTAAAAGAGGTATCGAGCATTCATTCTAAAGGAGTGAACGTGAACGCTTACTTCGATTCTTCCGTTGCAGCATCGACAGGTTCTCTATAACATGATGAAATACTGCGTAATGAAAGAAGCTTTAATAAGTTTGCTGACCGTTTAACGGGAACCGGCCTTCGCTTCTGAGGAGACTTTGGAGGCATGATAGGCAGCAAAAACTCAATGAGGGAAAAGGGACGTCGGTGAAAGTTTGTTCAATCCCACATTTTATACCACGATATTCGGATAAAAGATATTCGCAGAAAGGGTACGACAACCTCAGTCTCTGCTCGAATTGTGTATGTGGTACTGTTATTCTCGATCGCTAAAACCTTTCTATTGACTTCACCGAATGAAAATTTTCTATTCATTCTTGTGGGATAGCAATAAAATTGTATTGGTTTCTGTGGTAAACGCCGAGACATCGCATAAAGTTTTGCCAAGTGGATCGACGTACTAAAAAGGATCAGTAACCTTGGACCTTGTCCGTTGTAAAGAAATTAGTCTCTTCTCGCGCTATGGACGCTCGTTACAACAAAACCCAAGCCAGTATGTTCCCGTTCTTCTTGAAAATATCTACCGTTGAAAAAAAATACAGTGGAAGATCTTATCCGGTATACAGAGGCCAGAGGTAGATGCGACATCGGTACCGATTGCCAGCAACTGCTTGAAGTCGACGTGAGTAACAACCGTCAATCAAGATTAAATCACGACACAGACATAACTGTACCCATAGATTGATAAACTCGAAATCGTGGCGTACACAAGGCCAGACACGTACCGTCTTTGCAAATTCGACGAGAAATCCGATAGTATGCAAGAGGTTATCGTACGACTTCAAGGCATTTTGTGCGCAACTGAATTGCCGCCACTCAAAGAAATAATGCAAGTGACGAGACAAAAACTGTACAATGTTATCGACTGATATTCTCAATACAAACAGTGCTGAGACTCATGTTAAAAAGATTAGAGGTCTTCGTCAAGCAGTTCAAGTTACCGGTCTCGGAGAAGACATCTTTGGATCTATCATTCGAACGGTAGAAAAAATTCATCAAAAATTCGAACTAGCGTTGCCGGTCAACACTTTGGGATCTTTTCAACGCGGAGAATACGAGGGCACAGTAGCACTGTATGCTCACAACAGATATTTCACCGACAGAAGGCTTGCACCTCAACAAGAACACCAGCCTTTTCTTCCCATGGTCGATCCATACGGCGCATTGGACAAATTGCGATCGCAAACATTTATTCACAGTTGCGACAACATAGTTGAATACACCTCGTTGAGGAAGGATGCAAAAGGGAATGACGAGTACGTCTTAAATCACCTTTCAATCCTATGTCAATTCACTTATGCATCAAAGATATTTCGTTATCAATCCAGCCACTTTTGGTTTGGGAGATATTGTGGAGATCAGCGTTGGCTTCGTCTGTATTCCCATCATAAACGGATATAAGTTCATGGCGACGTTGAGAGGAATGGTTCTTTTGGACAACAGTGTACGAAAGGTAAGTACATGCTACGCGTAACCGACGGTCCTAATTCGGAGCAACAGAAAGCGTTGGCAGTCAGCAAGGGTTCCCTGCTGCCTACTTTAGGCCCCGCATTGACCTTGAAACGTAAAATGCTATACATTAAGGACCAACTCGACGAAACGTGCGATAACGTTGGCGCAATGACTCTACAAATCGGCTCGATGCAGGGAATTGAGGAGGCAAGGACGACATGCAAAACACGCACAAACTATTAGTAAACGACATTTAATTCGGAAACCGTCATTTGTATACTCCACGCTGGTCGTGATAAATATTCAATTAGAACTAGACATCTTGTTACACACTTCGACTTTATGGAATTCGACCCGAAACGAGTTCACAAGACGGTGTGCGATATCCTGGACGACAGAGCTAGCAATAACCTTGACAGCGATTGGGAGGCACTTAAAAGCGCAGCTGATGAATTTCTACAAGCCGTGGAAACTTTCGAAATCGCTGATGACGACGCCGACATTGAGCTTGATAGCATAAAAAGTTAGCCATCATTCGATCTTAAACTCTGAAAGACGAGTTGACAATAGCAAACAAGCAACGTCTGACAAAACAAAGGGCAAGAGCGGTTTCAGTCGCGTTGAGCGACTAGAATTGTTACACGCCCAGGTCTATCCCGACGTCTATGATAAAGCTTGCAAAATGACGTCTTACGCGCAAGCTTTACACACAAAATTAGCGACAGCTTCACAAAAGAACAAAGAGTTTGGAGAGAAGATGGATAATGCGCTTACATTTTTGACTGAGGTGGTTGGAATGTTACGCGACAACGAAGAAAATACCGAGGCTCAGTTGGGTTATGAGATGGACAATCCTCCTATGGATACAGACTCGGATGAGTCTGAGAACTAGTTCAAAGTTGTTAAAGGGTTTATCAATCTCCAATTTGAAAACGATTTCAGAGTGCAGAAGATCATACTATCAGTCCTTCCAATCTCTGAGAGTTAACTTACTTACATGATACGGGCCGGTGAGACCACGCACTCGATCGCCCAAAATAAATCAAGCGCTCGATCGCCCAAAATAATCCGATCACCAACTGAATATTTTACAGATCATGGTGACTCACCGTACAATGAAAAAAATGCGTTGATCATAAAACCGAACTTCATCATGTACCTGGTAACAATGGACATCAAATGCATGGCCAATGTTGTCAATTGTGGTTGGTGTCTGATTGAAACATACCTGCAAGATACAAAATATAACGTTCATCGGCTGATGTGAAAAAGACGAAACAAAAAAAAACCGATATGATCGAAGCAAATGAATGTACTTGGCGACACTGGCATAAATGGGGATTTTATTTTCAAGCGATCGATTGTGTCGCAATTTCGTGGCAGCTTGATGAAAGATGCAGAACAATGGAGGATGGTACAGACATGGTAAAGTTAGACCAAGCACGGCAAATTTATCGAGTCGAAGAACTCAGTTGAGTATTTGGATGCTTTTTGTTTCAGCTGTCTCGTCCAGTTATGACCCCTGAGATGATCTCTCCAAACTCCTGCTGCTAAAGGTTGTGCTCCTTGGCTGATTTCGTTAAGCCTCTTCTGATATTCCACCTCGTTGTATTCAGTCCATCGCCCATAGTTTTCACCACATTTCAATTGTTCGTACGTTGACGTCAAAGGCCACCATGATTTCAGTGCAAACTGATTTTTCGTTGCTGAAAAAAATGTGTTGTAGTTAATAATGGTAGACAAAATGTGAATACATACTTGTTTCGCAATGATACACTCCACATAACATGTCCAACTCGTCTTGTGAGAGATCGTCGTCGCACAAGATTTGATCACCCGCGGCAACGTACAAGCCACATCTTTCGACAGATGCACTGATTGAAGGGCCTTGTAGAGCATAATCGATACTCATTGTTTCCATTGCGAGTCGCCACACGATACCACCACGCAACAATGCAGCACGGCCACGAGAAGAATTCAGTAGTTCAGACCTCTCTCGTACATATGCATCGTAGTCTCTGCGAGTGAACGAATATCCGAACATTCAAATGGGAACTGGTCGACGTATCTTTTGTTTTACTGAAGTCCGCGCTATCGTATTTTGCATGGTCCGAAATTGAATACCCTTTTGCAAAAAAAGACGGGCAATTTCATAGGTCGATAACTTGGCGTCTAAACGACATATATAAGCCGCTGTTGCAGGATCTTCCACTGTTAATCTCCAAGAAACAGAATTGCATAAGGTTTCAAACATAAACATGCCATTCCCCAATCGTTTGATATGTCGAATGCGGTGATTGCCTTCTAAAGCTATGCGGTTTCCGCTCAGAAGATCCCATTCATCAAATGCGGGTTTGCCTTTGCCAGTTGCCAATTTCTTGACAAAGTCCAATGCTTTGGAACCTGCGGACGTGGAGAATATGGGATCATCAGATGATGTTAAACCTAAGGCTCTCAACATTTTTTTCTTTTCAGTCGTGTCTAATTCCAGAGATTGCGATGCAGCGATTGGAAGCGGTTGAACAAAGCCGTGGAAGAAGTACAACGCCTCCAGTGTCTCTAACGGATGTCGACTATTCACTTCGTACTCATCGACAACCAAAGGTGGAGGCGACGGACTTCTAGGCATTTCAAGAAAAGTAGTGTTATCGATGTTGGCATCGTCAAAAGGTTCATTTTCTTCATATCGCTCCGAGCTGACAGGAAAGTCACTGGAGTACGTTAGCTCGTCTTCAAAGTTGTCGTTTAAATCGTTGTCATAGTGATCAATACGTCCCATTTCATCGCAGCAATCCCATTCGTTTTCCCAAGAGTCGTACAACTTCTGAGAATCAGTGAACATATTTAACGCATCAACCTTTGCACGTTTTGGAACGTCATTGCGAATCCATTCTCCATGCTCGTCTTCCTCCCAAACGAATACTTTCGCGCCGACAACTGGATGATTTGACTGGCTTTGCAATCGAACAAATCGATGTGCGTCGGTCTCAGTAGATAACATTGATGCGTGGTTCGCCTCCCGCAACGCAAAAAAAGCACTGAGCTTTTGTGGCAAAGAAATGTGCAATGGGACCTTGGTAGAAGAATTGAGGTCTGCAGACATCGAGGTCGCACCTTCTCCGAGCAGGCTGCCATTAGCTGAAATTGTTGTTGAACTCCACAAAGTATTTTCCGACGCAGTGGCCGAGTTTAATAGTCGAGTTAAGTAGACGCAGAGGGATCTTTCCTCCCGGCATGTCGGCTTTTTGTGTAACAAAGTTAACACTTCTTGTATTTGATGTGGAAGAGGCGCTAAGGCTTCGATTTCTTTGCGATCTTTCGCCGCTTTGACCTCCACTTTGGTCCATCGATACCACACCGCTATATTGTGGTCACAGAACCACGAGACTGTAGGCCGACTGGAACATCCGTCCAGTAAAACGATAATTGTGCCCGCACGTGGTATTTGAGTATCAAATTGATATAACCACGACGAGCGAAGCCCATTCAACCATATTTGGTCATATCCATCATCGGTGAGGATCTGATACCATCCCGGTATGTTGCCAAATCCATTGTATTTGGACTGTCTCTTTGGAGCGGCTCCTACAGCCATCAAATAGGATACAATGGTCATCCACACAATGAACCAGTCTCGAGCTTCAGCCAATCTTCGACGACCAGCTGAGTTCGATCGAAAGGGTTTCGTGAAATCATAGGCAGAAGGTAAATGTGGCGTAATGAGAGCGACTTTGTAGCGCAGATTCAGTAACACCGCGACATCGTGCAGAAAGTACTGAAGATGGTACCAAGATTGTGCAGTGACAGCATCAAGCGCAAACAGATCTTTCGTATCTGTGACTTGGGTCGGTATGAAGCATAGCCTATCAAACGGCACACAGCTAAAACTGAATTTCAGAGGTATGAAAGCCATCCAACCGAAATGTGGGGTCCACCATCGAGGCAATTGAAGGGCAGATAATCGAGGATATCGTCGAAATTGAAGAAAAGGGTTAACGACGCCGCCCTGCTTCGTGACCTGAGGGGGGACGTCTATAGCTCTTCGACTATTTGGCGAATAAAACAGATCGCCGTCAATGAGATAGGCTCTTCCTTGTGATCTGTCAACATCATACGAATAACTCCTGCAACGTATCCATCAGTCTCTCTCCAACTCAGTTCAAGAAACAACCATCTTAACATTTAACAAAGACCGCGCTTCAGAACAGAGTGTCGTCGTAACAGAGGGAAACTCAAAGCACTAAACGTCTTGTCAACGTGTCGAGGTGAGACAAACAATCACAAATTTCAAACTGAAAAGTGGACGTCCACTTTTCAGTTTAAAATTGTCACTTGTTTGGTGCAGTGACGATGTACGTAGAAAGAAACAAAAGACAACAACCCATTTCAAAACTTCAAACTATTCGTTAAAGCGCTAAGTAACCATTCCCTGCTCAGCACTCCAAATGCAAAATGCCGAAAGGCCTTACTTCTGGCCAGTAAGGTAAAAGACATCGTTGATTTTTGTTAGTTACACCACCATCGAACGCGCAGGGCATGTGGTCGACTTTCACAAAAAAATCACATAAATACGTATTCCCGCTACGTCAGTAGGCAGATGAAGATCAAGTCATGGAAGATGTAGAAGATGCTTGACATCGTCGTAATGATTAAATCAGACTTAAATACGCTATTAGGGTACAGACAAAGTTGTATTGCCAATCAAAAAAGCAAAATGTACACGAAAGGCAACAGTGACAGTGATAACATGTTAGATTGTCCGAGATGTTCATGGTACAAGATATGCGAATGGTGATATAATGCGTTTGAGGATTGGCTAAGTGAAGTAACGACGAAGGTGATTTTTAAGAACCAACATCTCCATTGGAGTCATTGGAACTTCTCCCATATCCGAAACACCCTTCAAAAACCCTTTGACCTCCTTATCGTCCCATGTATTGGCAACCGATAAAAATTTCTTGTTTTTGCAGCCAAACCCGATGAAATGGTGTAAATATTGGGACATGTCGGGGGTACACGATTTGAGGAAATGCGTCAATTCTGCAGTTTCTCTTTCTAGTTTTGCGAGGATGTCTGGGGGTGATTCACTTCGAGGATTCCGAACCGGATTATGATTTGGTTGAGTTGCAACAGAACTGTGATCCGAAACGGCTATCTGTCGTCGCTAAAGTTCGTCTGTTCACTCAGTTGTATCAAATGAAGAGAAGACGCACCATTGATTGTCTCGTTGTTTCCTGAGAACCCTGAGAACTGCCATTACGAATGAACACTCCGGACGACGAATAAAAAACGTACTTCGGCTGAAACTGAAGCAGTCGAACATCGATGTCTGTCGTTATCAAAAATTTTCGCCATGTAGTATCGCGCAAATTTTATTCGTTGCTGGAGACCGTCGTCTTTGATCAAAAAGAAAATTGGGTACATAGGCCAGAACTGGCAAAGAAGATGTGAATTCGACGAATGAGTGTGGCTATTGCGGAGGTACCTCTTGCTCAATTTTTGCTATATTGTCGGGTTGGTCTGAAAACGTCTTTGACTTTTGTAAATGCGATCGCATGCAGTTTCTTAACGTAGCCTGAAGAAGCGATGTTATAATGGCGCTTAAAGGTTATCATTAATTGGACTCACCTTCCACCGTAAAAAATACTCTTCCGAACAGTCCGGGTCAAAGAGCTCACGAAACTCGTCTATCTGCTCCGAGATTGACATACTCTGTTCATCCATCGCCCTCTAGCTTACCTTTAACGACAGAGTTCCTGTAGGTAAAAGCAAAATCAGTTGAAAATCAGCGAGGCAATCGATCAATCGTACGTGGCATGACTCAATGACTCTAGAACAGTAATACTAAGTGGTGCTGAGAAATTTTGTAGTGTTTTGAAGACGAACCGTGAGTGGTCAACGACAAAACTAACCAAGTCCCATTGTTTATCTATGTTAAACGGCACGTGACTATGAAATCTCTTCGAAACGCGCCGAATAATATCAAGAGCATCGAACATTTCGGTCGGTAACCTAAAAAATGAGCCGTAGTGGGCCATGCGGCTTACCGCGCTATGTTTTATGGTACGGTAGGTCAATAATACAAGAAGACGTATACAAAGGCTTAACTAAGTAAAGGGGTTGTACAAAGAGTCCACGATACCGGGATGTTCACCCGCCTGTCATATCACGTGAAAAGGGTCTACATTCGCAAATTTTCATATTTGGTTCCTCGCGACGACAAATCAACGATTCGCCAGACAACACTCCGCAAACTATACCGGCGTTAATTTTGATCTTCGCGACCCAAAACGTCGAATCACGAAACATCCCAAACTGTACGGCGCAAACTATACCCGTGATAAGAAATTGCTGCAAAATACATACATATTTACTCTCAACTTCGCTTCAAGAAAACACAGCACACAATTAACTGGGTAAGTCGTTTTTGTCTTCTCTGACTACCCTTCTTCCTTCCACCGCTATTATTTTCTGATAGTCAATTTCCAAAAACGACTGATATCGTAATTCCCTTCTATAGAAGTTCAAATGTTTGACACCTATATGGATGCGTTAAGCATGGAAATTTTGACACAAATTTTGGAAACGACGCCATTCACTGATATACGATCATTCGCGCAGACAAATCGGTACAATAAAACACAAACGGCACTCTACCACAAACATACTCTTGTGCGGGAGATCGCCAAAAGAGGTGTTTGTCCCATACGGCTTATCGAAATCATGAAATCAACTGGCTCCGTAATAACCGGCTCAATCCCTCTACTCTTGATGTTTCCCCAAATATCGTCGTTGCCGCACGATCACATTTCCATGATGGTCGGCTCTGACGCACGGGACATTTTACTAAATCTCTTACGAGAACGTTGTGATTTCAACGTCACTCGAGTCGAACGCAGACCGATGTGGGACAACATGAGAGACCCAAACCTGACAGAAGGAATTTTTACCCTCACAAAAGCAACTTTCACAATAACTATCACGGTTTCTCGGACCAATCATCCCATCCAACCTATGTTTGAAAATGATCTCACCCTTGACATGAACTATGTCACACCGTATGGTTTAACATGTGCATATCCTTTACTCACTGTTTCACGACGATCTTTCCTCAATCTGCACAAATTCCCATACCACGTCCCTTTATCGCATTTGCTTTACGAGAACGCGGGTTTCCGTATCGCCAAAGCAATTTGGATTTGGAAGGATTTTGAGGATCATGAATGCGGCAACAATGGCAGTTGTCCTTTCACGGTGCGGTCCATCACCGATAAAGACGTCATGACGGTGTTATGGGACGAGAAACCTGTTCACGAATGTCGTCCAAAAGGTATTGATGGCATGATGATTTGGAAATTGAGAGGGTCCATACACTGCATTGATGGACAAACACGCAGTGCAGCGTTCACTGTTACTCGAGATGGACGTTTGTTAGGTGGGTAATTTATGGGCACAAAAAACTGCAATGCTAACATACATCGCAGTTGGCAGCTAATACAAGCCATGTACTTCTTACGACGAATGATGTACATCGTCAAAGATGTTGATTAATTATTGACGTGTAAGAATCTACGTTCAGCAATAGCGCTATTCAATAACAGGATGTAAGCGACATCAAGCCCAAGAATTGCAGCATACATACTCTTGAAGGAGCTTGTTAACAAAGTCTATGTCGGACAAAGTAAGATTTACCACCAATCGATCCCTTGTCGTCTTTATGACCATCAAACTTCCCATAATTCTGTCAGAGTGAAGGCTTGAAGCGGCCATGTTGTAATCATTGAAACCCCAATCATCGTCCTCCGTTAACTGACAGGCATGAATATAAGGTCGGCATACAGAACAATTGAAAATAGCTCACTTGACGCTCATGCATGAAATAATAAAAATACTCCACAAGATTCTCATCGCCGTCATAAAGAGACCGACTTTGGAGGAAACAATTGCTCGTCATATCGAGGCTATTCCCGAAGTTTGGAATTAAATCTTCAACGTTTACGTCGTAGATCGAACAGCCATCCGCCAAATGCCTAGAGGCTAGTGTGACAAAGACCGCCACCGGAACTATGATTGGTTTACTGCAGCGATTCCCATAGTAAATAACGCTCGGACGCTTAACAAAGATCAAACACGTTAACTTGAGAACAAGATGACTAACGAATCAAGAACAAACGTGAGCTTGATCACTTGACCGATTTACTGACCGAGTTACAGCTAATTCGTCCATAGCTTGAAAGACCAAATTTAAGAGTGAAGCAACAAACGAAAAAATTTCAATCCTGACGAGACACCGTGGTGTCAACGTCGTTTTTGGAATTTTTTTTTTTCAATGCAATAGAATTCTAAATATAGCACATATATATAACAGTCGCAAAATGATTCATGCCCCTCCATGAAGGCTACAAACCACAGTACAAAGTAAGTCTAATGGCGACATATCTGAGAACCCCCCTCTAACTTAACCTGTTCGCAAAAGGCGTTGCAAAAGTATGAGAAAGGATGTTCAAGGCAGGAAACATCGATACTTGGACTATAACTCAAACAGAGAACAGCGATATGTAAGACAGCTCCCATTAAGACGTTGATCAGAGGTGACCACTATACAAGGTTATTCCTGGCCTAGAACACCAGACAAATCAAAATGTACACACCACACTCAAGAAGCATGAAGTGATCATCGCTGCACTCTGCATTTGCACTGTGGTGCTATTCTTTCTTATTCTCTCAGTCAATGCCTCAATAAAGTACGACAACTCCCAAAGAAAAGAGCGATGGCAATTTGTCCCAGTGTAACGTCGTCAAAATATGTAGGGTCCGTTTAACAGCTTTCCGAGACAACCGTTTGTGGGCCGAAGAGATGGCTCTAGAAATAAACGAATAACATAAGTAGTTGCCGAGATCTACATCTGCCCGACACTCCACCAAGCAAGTGTAAATTTTGAACTGAAAAGTGGACGTCCACTTTTCAGTTCAAAATTTGTGACTGTTTGCCTCAAATTGCGGTCGCGTTCAAACGTCACTCCACCAAGCAAGTGTCAACTTTGAACTGAAAAGTGGACGTCCACTTCTCAGTTCAAAATTTGTGACTGTTTGCCTCAGATCGCGTCAGCGACAGTCGCGTTCAAACGTCAAAGCCTTGGATGCCCAGATCCAACTCCCTTTTGAGTTGTGTCATTCACATTTCACATATACGTCGGCTTATTCAATTTCTTTCTGTTTATTGCCAAGTCTTCCTTCTGATTGAAACAATCACAAGTATTGAGGACGGCAAGCGGATTTTCATGTAAGATAAGACTACAGGACTCGTAATTACTTTAAGTATCGTAGCGAAGTGTTCATTTCAATGGAGTAAGCGCGAAAGTGCATCAGGAAACAGTGAATTTATAAGTAGTTTCTCAGTGAAATCCATTGTACTGGTAGTTTTTGGTTCTTCGCCGTAGCAGGCAGTAGCCACAACTTGTCTGGGTAGTTGACCTTGCATGTACATCTCCTGAGTAGCTGTCCGGCAAGTGTCAGTAGTTCCAATATTTGTCCAGCAAGTGTCAGTAGTCCCAATATCCTTTCACTGGAGACCTGTAGCTTCAGTAGAAGAGATAATGCAAGCCAACAAGCAGCCGTAGTTATAAAGAAGAGCAAAAAGGAATGAAGTTCAAAATAAAAATTGTTATTTTGTGCGGCGAAGAGACTTCCGAAATACATGAAGATCAACTAAATATCATAGAAGGGAGAAGTCGCGATGGCAAAGATTTGTGAACATGTTGGTGTCGAAATCATCGGGGGTGCGTCGCAGGGGTGTGTACCAATGAACGTAGGCGAGGGGGTGGTTGTATTGGCTGAATTCAGCTGGCAACTTGAAGATGACCAACGCGGAGCCCGAGCAATAGAAGGGTCAGTGAGATGAACGAGTGACGTTTCGATGTTTGGAGCTTACAAAAGGACACGATGAACAAGCAAAGCAGGGCTTCTATCAACGCCCCAAGGGCGGTGACATTGTCTCCATGAGACCTCTGACCGAGCCACCTTCCTTCCATTCCCTTGTGTCATGCATGTTGTCCTCGATGTTGTCGTCGGCTGAGGGGTTGCACGAATACGCCACGAGGCCACGTATACAGTTGATATGTGTGCTGGCTCTGGAACCCAGATGGGCGAATGGGGATTGGAAAGCGGGAGAGCTTCGGCTGAGAAGGGAAGAGGTGAAAGATTTGAAAGAGGATGAGCAGGGAGAGCGAGTGGTCACAGTGATTGTGTTGGAGAGTCGGAGGGGTTGTACGTTGGTCGGCCATGAGACGAGCAAGGCGCTGACTGTGTCGCAGGTGGATCTGTCAGCGTGAACAGAGGGTGGCCATGTGACGATTGCCGAGGCAATGCATCTGCTGGTGGGGCTGCTGATGGCGAGGCTCCAGCGATGAGAGGATGCTGAGGTTCCGGTGAGGAAGTGGTGGATGTCAAGTGGATGTGCTCATGTCGAATTGAACAAGTCCGTTGAAACTCCGACACCATGTGACGATGTTGATTTTTGAATTTCCCAACACGGAAATCCATTCTTTCTTCCCCCCCACCACATCGCCAATGCGTAAGTCTTTCCATTCAAGTCCTCTTCATGTTCAGTCAGTGTGTCCCTTCCTTCTTCATCCATGTTCTCCACACTCATGGCCCTCTTCTAGTCTGCACATGCATACATCCTCCTCATCTGTGTTGGCCAAACTCACACTCACCCCCCTTCCTCTCGTCGTTTCCAGTATGTGTGTGTTGCCATCTGTCTCCGTCCCCGTTCACCGTACTCACACCCCATTTGCCTCCTCATCTCCAGGCAGTACTGACCAACCTACCCGCAGCATGTCTGTGCGTACTTTACATAATTCGCCCTCATCTGTGTTCGTCGTATTCACCCCCCTTTCTTTTCTCATCTCCAGGCAGTGCGTACTTTCCTTGTCCCTTATCGGTGTTTGTTGTACTACCGCCCCCCCCTTTCTCGCCTCTGCTCGATACGGTGCGTACTTTCCACGTCTCTTGTCGGTGTTCATCATACTCACCCTACCCTGGCCCCTTAACCCTTTCTCTCCTCATCTCCAGGCAATACTTACTTTCCTGGATTCTTATCGGCATTCATCGTACTCACACCCCCTTGCTCTCCTCGTCTCTACGTAGTACCTTGAATGTATATACCTTGTCTCTCAGTACACAATACCACGATGCTTGCCAATCACTACTGCCACTTTTGGTTCAAAAAAATGACCAGCTACCCATTGTGTACCATGAACCAGTAGCCTTCGTAGATCAAAAACAATGCAAGCAACATAAAATTAGACTTGACTACAGAGCCCTGGTTCACCTGGTAGCTACAGTAGACGCAGAGCAACGGACACAATCCAGAGCTACCTACCATGTTCAGGGAACTACTGATGCTACTGAGATTAATAGGATGACTACAGGAACTATGCACTAGGGGACTTGTGTACCCAGGTATTCAGGATACTGAGGGTATTTGTAGCTACTGACCCAAGTCAGTGCCTCCTGATGTGGTTCTTGAGTACAAAAATATCCATAGCCGTAAACTCGTTATCTCCGAAGGAGGATACAGTCTTCAAGAACGTATCGATCCCGTCATCGGTGCACAAATGAACAGCATGCAAAAAATGCTCGTCGGTACAGCCAAAGGCGATAAATTTGGGTAGAAAGTGTGACATGGGAGGGATGCATGTCTCCAAAAAGTGTCTCACTGGAGCGGTCGATTCGTCTAAAGGCGGCGTGGCGGCGGCACGGGTTGGGATTGGCAGATAAGAGGGTTTAAACCCCCTTTTCCGCTCTGTAACTGGAGGGGCGTGGACGGACAACTTTGGGTTCACTTGTTTCACTTGTGGTTTCGCGGCAGGCTTCGCCTGCTGGAATTTCGTATCAGTCACCGTCTTTCACTACGGGCACCTTATACTGACTGTAGATGGCCCGCGGGTGTTCCTCGAAACGTCGACGGGGTCTCTCGCCCCACTTTTAATCTTTTTCTGCCTGGCACGCAAGTAACGCCATCTGTTATTCGAGAACAATTTCTGCATATACACCCGAGCCACATTCTTGCGCCGGTTGGTGTCCGCATCTGATGCGAGAAAAAGATTCGGATATAGAGACCAGATCTTCGAATACATAGTTTGAATCACGACGGAAAAAGATTGGACGAAAAATATATACCTCTTGTTCACATTTCGTCACGTTTTCCCGTTGCCCCATGTAAGTCTTCGCATAAACCAGATGTTTTCGAGTCGACGCTCTCAACGCTTCCTGAAGAGGACTTTCGTGTTAAATACTCAAAAAAACGCGAAGTACACTAACTTTCAATCGATTGATGTAATCCTGTGATAAATGTGTACCCATCGTTTTTCGAAAATCAGCCGTCTGTGCGCTAATGTCAGAACAAAGCACATGATCGGTAGCCATTAGCCCACCTTGATGGATATTTTGTCTAAAAACGTAAGAACGACGCGTAAGAGTTCAACGATGTCAGTATCAAAGACAAACTTACGAGGCATCGTGCACAACCGAAAGATGGGGAATGGAAGAAAAGCAAGACGCGGCTTTTGAGGCGATATGATATGAACACTGATTGACTTATGTTGTGGAAAAGCTTAATTTCAATAAACAGGGTCACAACAGCGTGTTGCCATCTGTCAGTCACCAAGACAGAAACAGAAACAGTGGCGGACGTGGGGGTGATTACTGCCAGTGGCTACTACCGAATCAATACAAAGTGAGGAAAAGATGACTAGGGCAGACCTGTGGCAGACCTCATTCTGAGCAGCGCGTTCGCGGTCCCAATGAGGAACAACCGGTTTCCGACACACAAGTGTAGCGCCTGAGATGACAAGAGTTGGGGAGTGTTTCGATTGAATGCGTCATACAATACAAATACAACCGATGCGGCCCTTACCGACGAAGTAATAGCGGTGTACAACTTGCAGCCCTGACAGCGTCTATGCTCGTGCCGATCAGCATTAGGTTTCCCTATACATTGTTACGACAACACTGTCTTTTGAAGTGCACCCTTTGAAAGGACGTTAGAACGAAACTGCGTATTGCGTTGGTATTGCGCCATCACTGCACCTTGACTGCACCAAACAAGTGTCAATTTTGAACTGAAAAGTGGACGTCCACTTTTCAGTTCAAAATTTGTGATTGTTTATCTCGCCTCGAACACTCCCTACTTGGTCACTACTGGATATGATCACGGCACGAAGACTTTGTTGACCCACAAGTTGAGGTGCGTAATTGCACAGTTTCCCTATACACTGTTACGACGACACTGTCTTTTGAAGTTCACCCTTTGAAAGGACGTTAGAACGAATCTTCGAATTGCGCCATGCACCTTGACTGCACCAAACAAGTGTCAATTTTAAACTGAAAAGTGGACGTCCACTTTTCAGTTCAAAATTTGTGATTGTTTATCTCGCCTGTGTTTCCCTCGAACACTCCCTGCTCACTACTAGATATAACGGCACGAAGACTTTGTTGACCCACAAGTTGAGGTGCGTAATTGTGACCACATTCGCGTAGCTTCTCAATAATAGTCATTGCAGAATCAGGTTTCCTTCCCCTAGTCGAGAACCAGACGTGTAGTGCAATGGGTTACCGCTTATACATTTATAACGTCTCCGTTGGCTGAAGCGCGCTCTTTGCCAAATGTCAACGAGACTAGACGTTACAGAAATTCGTCGTATGGTGCCCCTTGCCCGTCAATACAAGTTTGACTCACCTCGACAGGGTACATACGCCACGAAGTCATACTTGACCCACAATACGCTGCGTAGTTGTATGAATTTTCACGTAGTTTCTAAAGAATAAACAATGTAGATTCAGATATTCATTCCTTGCTCGAGAGACGCTAAGTGCATTGCGTCACCCTTTTTTCACTGTTATGACGACACACCCTTTATGAAATGACCTCTACAACTCATTCGATGCCACTACCGACCTCATTGCCACTCTTTTCCGCATGGCCGTCACTTGGAGTATCAGAACGTCTTCGTCTTGGTCCTCGAGAACGAGTCATCTGATCAGACAGAGGCACTTTTACGGTATTTCGGTACCCCGCTTTTTGAATACCGCAATCCGGCTATTGAACCCCTGCGTAAGCTGCAGGATTCGGAGGGAGAGTATCTCGATACTATCATATTCGTAAACGATGGCTTTCCCTTCATATGCATGCTTTTATCTTAAGATGAGATGGTGTGGCCCAATTGTGAAATATCCTGCAAAATTGGGCCCAATGGCTATTTAACACATGATCATATGCTGGGCTGATGAAAAAGTAGGCTGAAAGATACCTCCAAAGCCAGGGGGAGGTAACTATGATGCCAATTTCTCATCAGGTAACACAACGTCAAAAAATGAGGCCATCGTTGGCTCAAATTGTAATCTGACATGTTAAAACTGAATGTTTCATCGGCTGGTTGTGCTGAAATACCTCCAGAAATATGGTGTTGCCTCTCAGAGAATATGTGCACTCAACACATGTCAAGACCGAAGATTTCATGGGCTGGTAGTGCCGAAATACCTCTGGAAATATTGTGTTGGGTCCCAAAGACTATGTGCACTCAATAGATATTAAAGCCGAACATTTCATCAGCTCATAGTGCCGAAATACCACCAGAAATTTTATCTGGCATCTTGGAGAATATGTGCACTCAACACATCTTAAAATTGAAGGAGCTATTGGCTTGTAGTGCCGAAGTGCCTCCAGGAATATTGTGTTGCCTCCCAAGGACTATGTGCACTCAATAGATATTAAAACCGAAGATTTCGTCGGCTCATAGTGCCGAAGTACCTCTGGGAATATTTTGTTGCCTCTCAAAGACTATGTGCACTCAATGGATATGAAAACCAAAGATTTCGTCAGCTTGTAGTGCCGAAGTACTTCCAGAAATATTGTGTTGCCTCTTGGAAAATATGTGCATTCAATAGATGTTAAAAGCAAGGATTTGTTTGGCGGGTGGTGCCAACATACCTCCAGAAATATTGTGTTGCCTCTCAGAGAATATGTGCACTCAACATATGTTAAAACCGAAGATTTTGTTGGCTTGTAGTGCCAAAGTACCTCTGGAAATATTGTGTTGCCTCTCAAAGACTATGTACACTCAATAGATATTAAAACCGAACATTTCATCAGCTCATGGTGCCGAAATACCACCAGAAATATTATGTTGCTTCTCGGAGAATATGTGCACTCCACACATGTTTCATTGGCTCATCATGCCGAAGTACCAGCAGAAATAATGTGTTGCCTCCCAAGGACTATGTGCATTCAATGGATATTAAAGCTGAGGATTTCGTTGACTCATAGTGCAGGAATACCTCCAGAAATATTGTCTTGCTTCTTGGAGAATATGTGCACTGAACACATGTTAAAGCCGAAGATTTCGTTGGCTTGTAGTGCTGCAAAACCTCCAAAAATATTGTGTTGCCTCCCAAAGAGTATGTGCACTCAATAGATATCAAAACTAAAGATTTCGTCGGCTTGTAGTACCAAAGTACCTCCAGGAATGTTGTGTCACCCCCAAGGACTATGTGCACTCAATGGATATTAAAACTAAGCATTTTGTTGGCACATAGTGCTGAAACATTGCCAGAAATAATGTGTTGCCTCCCAAGGACTATGTGCACTCAATGAATGTTAAAACCGAAGATTTCGTCGGCTTGTAGTGCCGAAATACCTCCGGAAATATTTTTTTGCCTCCCAAAGACTATGTGCACTGAATAGAAATTAAAACTGAAGATTTCATCGGCTCATAGTATCGAAATATTGCCGGAAATATTGTGTTGCACCCCAAGGACTATGTGTACTCAATAGATATTAAAACCGACGATTTTGTAAGCCCATAATGCTGAAATATCGCCGGAAATATTGTGTTGTCTCCCAAGGACCATGTGCACTCAATAGATATTAAAACTGACAATTTCATCAGCTCATAGTGCCGAAATATTGCCAGAAATATTGTGTTGTGCCCCAAGGATTATGTGCACTCATTAGACATTAAAATGGAAGATTTCGTCGGCTCATAGTGCCGAAATATTGCCAGAAAGATTGTGTTGCACACCAAAGACTATGTGCACTCATTAGATATTAAAACCGAAGATTTCGTCGGCTCATAGTGCCGAAATATCACTGGAAATATTGTGTTGCACCCCAAGGACTATGTGCACTCAATGAAGATTAAAACCGAAGATTTCACTGGCTTGTAGCGCCGAAATACCTCCGGAAATACTGTGTTGCCTTTCGGAGAATGTGTGCACTCAAAACATTTAAAACTGAAGATTTCGTCGGCTTGTAGTGCCGAAGTACCTCCGGAAATATTGTGTTGCCTCTCAAAGACTCTGTGCACTCAACGGATATTAAAACCAAACATTTTGTCAGCTCATAGTGCCGAAACATCGCCAGAAATATTGTGTTGCTGTGCTGCCTCCCAAGGACTATGTGCACTCAATAAATATTAAAATCGAAGATTTCGTCGGCTTGTAGTGCCGAAATACCTCCGGAATATTAAAACTGAAGATTTCATCAGCTTGTAGTGGCGAAGTACCTCCGGGAATATTGTGTTGCCCCCCAAGGACTATATGCACTCGATGGATATTAAAACCGAACATTTCATTGGCTTACGGTGCCGAAACATCACCGGAAATATTGTGTTCCCCCCAAGGACTATGTTGACTCAATAGATATTAAAACCGAAGATTTTATCAGCTCATAGTGCCGAAGTACCTCCAGGAATATTGTGTTGCCCCCCAGGGACTATGTGCACTCAATGGATATTAAAACTGAACATTTCATTGGCTCATAGTGCCGAAGTACCTCCAGGAATATTTTGTTGCCTCCTAGAAAATACGTGCACTCAACATATGTTAAAACCGAAGATTTTGGTGGCTGGCAATGCCAAAATACATCTGGAAATATTGTTTTGCTTCTCAGAAAAGATGTTGACCTTCCAGCAACATTGTTTGACCATCTGGGAACATTGTTTGACCTTCCAGGAACATTGTTTGACCTTCCGGGAACATTTTTTAACCCCTGAGGAACATTTCTTGACCTTCCTGGAACCTTGTCTGACCATACACAACTGTTGTTTCACCTTCTGGGGATATCCATACCGACCCTCATCATGGGTTCATCTTCTGAGCCCCCATGTAGTATAAAACAAATTGTTGAACATTCCCTGCAGTCAAGGTTAGACATAACCTTTTGAGTACACACACTGGATACATATCAATATGGTTGAACAGAAGTGAGTTGACCATCATTCTGAATCTGCTTGCAACTCCAGAAACAGACTGGGGGTAAGGGAGGCCATTTAATCTCCTTGTTGATTCATCAATGCGTCAGTGAGCACTTACTCATCTTGTAGTATTATCATAAAATGCTTTCAAATCTCCAAAAATCGTCTGTCTTGAAATTCATCTTGACACTGGGTGAAACAATGTTTCCAGATGATGAAAGAATAGTAGTGTATGGTTAGACAATGTTCCCAGAGGGTCAAATAAT